ATCGGAAATGTAGGCTGGCTTTACACCCACGGCACTATCAGAAAGTTGCTATCAGAAACAATGCCCGACTGTTTTGGACGTAATATGGTCGGTGTTTACATTAGCATCGCTAACACTCAGAGCTAACCTGTACTGGAGAGCATGTGTGTGAAGAAGCAGGAAGTAAAAAGGAACTCACCTTGTGGTATAACCGGCAAGAGAGAAAGCCTTTGAGCTCCATACTGTTTCAGAGATAATCCTTGATAATCCATGATATGGCGTTTCATCACGGCAGTATTTAGTTTAGACAGTAGCTTTTTTTAAAGCTTTATAACCCAAATCAGTACTTTTGAAACAGGAAGTGAAATAGAGGGATATGAGGCATGGCTAAAAATACCATGATAGGTGACCTTTAAAGTTCCCCCACACACTTTGTCTTTTAGAGTCCCTTTTCCCACTCATGTGAACTCAGNAATAGAGGGATATGAGGGATGGCTAGAATGGGTGATCAGTTTGGTATTTTGAGCAAAACACTTCATAAACATGTTTTTTATATATTTGTATATATCTGAGACCTATGCTATTGCCTAAAAATAGCATGATAGGTGACCTTTAATACGTACATAGCTAAAGTGTAGTTATGTCGATTAAAATCTTAGGTCACAGGCTCCTCCAACAGTGCAATAAAACAGGAAAACAGAAAAAATAGTGCAAGTAATTGTCTCGCTCTACAACAAAAGCTTCACTATGTTGTAGCTTCCAGGAACAATCTGTGCGTTTCATTACCTGAACTCAGATAATCTTCCAGCAGGTCCCATTTCCCGAGCTTCCAGGCCGCCTCCACTCTGTAGGTGTTCAGCTCCGACTTCCACTGGTGCCTAAATGTGTACATAGCTACATTCAGTGGATCTTAATTGACATACATATTATAAGAATAAAATACAGTTGCGCATTAATAAAGAAACACTCAAGAGGATAATGAATATAAAAACACAGCTAGTGGGTTAATTAGCAGGGAAAGAATGAGTAGATTAAAAGCACCTTTTATAAGATTGATATGGGCCATTGTATAAAGTTTGTGTGTGTGTGTGTGTGTGTGTGTGTGTGTGTGTGTGTGTGTGTGTGTGTGTGTGTGTGTGTGTCTCACTTGTTTGCCAGGACTCCATTGACCTGAGTGATGACTGTTGACAGCTGTCCAAGGCCGAGCATGGAGGTCATGACCCCGTGATAGTGACCAATCTGTACACAGAGGGGAAAAAACAAGTTATGTAATAGGGAAATAATTAGAAAGCGATGCAATACTGAAATAAAACAAAAGCTGACAGCACAGTTTCCCTTGATCTGAACAACATCAATCATTTATATAGTGGCCTTATCACGATGGCACGATTTTAGAAAGTCACTTATAAACTGTACCCATCATGAATGTCTCATAGATTTATGATACAAAACTGAAAAGGAATGCAGCCCTGGTGTGTGTGTGTGTGTGTGTGTGTGTGTGTGTGTGTGTGTACCTGGTCTGACTCCAGCTGAATGGCCCGGTCATAGCAGGCGGTCGCGTCTCTCAGCAGGCCGATGCTCTCGTGCTCCAGAATCTGTTCCCGTAGCGACGGCTCCTCCCTCCTCAGGGCGTTGACCCCCCTCACCCCGTCCGGCTCGTGCATCGCAGCGTACAGGGTCTGCAAAAAGTCAATTATAAGAAATGTAAAAAAGCTGAGAGCTGCAACTCTCCACTTAACAAATAACGTGAGTGGTTAACTATCATTATGTCTTTATTTCAACGAGGACCATGCATACAAACACATTCATCTCAGAAAAGAGAAGAGACGAAATATGCAAGATTTGGGAAATAGCTAATTTCCATCTACAGTCCTTAGGTAAATCTCAGTAAAGATTTAAATAGTTTGATATTTTAGTCCTCTTGAGTCTTAAAGACAGTCTTAGAAAGTACCAGAAATAGTAATACTTGAACTGAACTTAAGTTGAAGTACGTCTAAATACCCAAACAATTGAAGCAGACTACAATGACAGATTTAGATTCCTGTCCAAACAAAATTTTAGGACTGCTCCTCACCCAAATTGTTACATTAACTTGACTTTATTTAAATTGTTTCAAAACAGTACCATGAAAGGACGTTATAAGTTACTTCAACAAAGCAGAGGAAATGTGGACAGACGAACAAAGAAAACTGTTATTATTAAAATGATTATTGATTGTTGTCTGACCTGCAGGAAGGTGAGGTGATCCTGAATGTTCTCTTTGTTTTCTAAGATGTATGCTTCAAAGTGCATGAGGGCCCGAGTGTATGCTTTGGACCTCAGCGAGGCCTTGGCCAGGACGTCCTGAGGGATTCCTCTCAGGAAGGCCACCACGCGCTGGTGCTCCCCGCTCTCTGCAAGAAGACAGTTCAGGGTCTTTTACTTCAACCCCCTTTTTTTTTTCAAGATTCAAAAAACAGTGTAGAAATGGCAATGAAATTCTTCTGACCTCTAACAATCCAACATATATCAGGGTATATGCAGGAATCCTGAAGTCAAATGCAAGACCTTTTTTAAGACCCTTTCCATACATTTTAAGACCTCATCGCCACTTTGAGTTCTAACCGGTTACCTTGGCGACACACTTTACCTCACATTGACTATATACAGTATTGATTGTCCTTCCTCCTTATCTTCCAACCATTTGGACGCAGACTTGCATTTCCCCATAACGATGTTGCTTAGCAACCGGCGTAAACGGACCTTCGCGCGCTATCAAGCAGTGAGCGTGCGATGTCCTGTTCAGATGACGTCAAATCCAACGGGATGCCATAAAATAAACTCCACAGAATCACACTACACACCTACGCAATGATTACATTCAGGCACACTGTAGAATACAACCTCTTTGGACAATTGATATACTTATTGAAAACAAGCTACAAAATGTAATACCTTGGAAAATGCCATTTAATACTTTTTA